TGCTGATTTTGGCACCAAGGGTGTTGGGTGGAGTTTAATGGTTTGGAGGTTTTAAGATATCGTTTGGCTTGGAGGGGGTAGTTCTGGCTTAAATGCTGACTGGTGAATTCCTGACTATGTGTTCCCAATAAACTTCTTGTTGGTTCAACTTGCTGGACTTATTGATACACTTTGGGCCTGAGCAGATGGTGCAAAGCACCGATTTCGAGGCCAGGAAGGGGAGGGGCAGCCTCATGCTGGGCACCCCAACCCCTTCCCAAAAACGTCGTCAGAGCAGCCGGCCCTCCGCACGGCTGGTGCTCCGACGATGCACTTCCGCTGCAGCGTCCACACATGCTGCAGCGGAAGAGGCGCCAAAGGTGCGCCGGAGGCCTTTTGCGGCACACCTTCGGCGTCTTGCAGAAGGAGCGCTATTTTAGCGCTCCTTCCTGGGCCTGGGATGCTGCGCCACGGGGCCGAGGAGTACGGATACCTCGGCCCCAATCCGCACCTTCCCTGGGTGGCCCCGTCTGCTTCCCTCCTTAGTTCCTGAATTTGTTCAAGTCTGATAGTACTGCAGCTCTCATGAGCCCTAGCCAGCATAGCCAATGGAGATGAATGGCGGGAATGGAAGGTTGTACATTCCTCAATCCTGTGGGAAGGTGGAAAGACCTTTGCCAGATATGTTGTAGAGCTGGGTGAAGAATGTGTGGTCCTCCTGATATTGCTAGACTATACGGAAGGTTGGACTTATGCAGTGGGTTGTACATTGGGGCTTCTGTATCAAGTTTGGAAACTTAACTTTGTACAAAACATGGTTAACAGACTGGTTACTGATACATCAAGAAATGTTCATATCACACCTATATTAAAATCACTCCACTGGCTGCCAATTAGTTTCCAGACAAGATACAACGTGTTCGTTGTTACTTTTAAAACCCTACATTGTTTGGGTACAGGTTACCTAGAGGGTCACCTTCTCCTGTATTATCTGCCCCACACATTCACATCCTATGTGGGACATGTACTACAGTTAGCCAGGAGCAGGTTGACAACTGTCAACCAGAGGACTTTTTCATCAGCCACCCACAAATTGTGGAATGACCTGCCAGAAAAGATTCAACAGCTGGATGAGCTGTCTGTTTTTAAAACAGCATTAAAGTTTTTATGGTGTTGCTGGGCTTTGGTTATCCACCAGAGAACAGGTCTAAGGAGCGGTCTGGCTCTTGCTGAGAACTAATTTTTTGATTCTGGTGCAGAATAACTACTCATCAGATACATACCTTGGCCCTTATAGTTAATTGTTGTTGTTGTTGTTGTTGTTGTTCTACAGACATTATGTGTTTTATTGTAAAAACTCAAAAATTTAATTAGGAAAAAAACAGCATTAAAGACCAATTACTTCCAACAATTCAGATGGTTTTAAAATTATGAATTGATTTTAATGAATTGTTTTAAATATGTATGCCTTTAAACTTTTATGCTCTTTTAACTGATAATGTATTTTTAATTGGTGTTCATATTTTTAACTGTGTCTAACAGTGTCTCTTTGCTGTATTTTAATCTGTTGTTCCTTGCCTCAGTCCATAGGGAGAGGTGGCTAAGAAATAAATGCTGCTGTAGTTGTTAATATTATTCCCATCAGCCCAAGCCAGCATATCTAATAGTAAAGGATGCTGGGAGTTGCAGTCTATAAGGATCACATGTTGCCTTGTAGAGTTGGAGGGCTTCTGCCAGTCAGAATAGACAATGCTCTGGTCTGCAACAAGGCAGCTTTTTCTATTGTTTCCTATGACTCATTTAAGGTTTTCCTCTGGTACTCCTATTGAGTTATAAATATCTCAACCATATTTCTTAAATTATTATTATTATTATTATTATTATTATTATTATTATTATTATTATTATTATGCTGTTGAATGTCTTGTGGACAGTACTTTTGAAAATTCTTAAAAGGAGAGCTGTCAGGATTAAAGCCTATACGGGCTTTGTTCTTGACCATTCTATGGCCTAAATTAGGCTACAAATCATGTGGCCCTCCACATATTCTTAGACTGCAACTTCCAGCATCCTCACTGGTGTCTTTGCTGGCTAAGGCTAATGAGTTTTGTAGTTCAG